CCGAGTGTCGGCTCGGATTTGCTGTGCTGATGGGCCCCTTGCAGACGTGAGGCAGAGAGCTTAAGGAATATAGCTAGGGATAGGGGTTAAGGAGGTGAAGGGTCAAGAAGGAGGAGGAGGTCTGAGGGGCAGGAAGGGGAACGAGGAGTTACGGAGTTACGGATGTTGCGGTTGTGTCGGTTACGGGTAGGAGCAGGCCAGTTCCCATCGAGACGATTTGCGGCTGTGTCGGAGGACGCAGGAGGATGGAAGAGGGAGCAGGACAGCGGGGATTGGCTCAACATCGACACCCATCCCCGCCAACCCACCCATATCGAGGAGCGAAGTTGAGCCCCCCCCGAACAACACAAAAGCACAGGGTGAACGCCTGGACCAGAAAGCCAGAAAGCAAATGAGGCGTGCGTGAAAGAACATTGCAGCCCGCGCACATGAGTCACATTCCTGATTTGCAAGTAGTTCGGGCTTGATTGTGTGAGTGAGGAGTTTGGGTCTCCTGCTCCCCCCACTCCTCCCCCCCGCTCCCTTCCCCCGCCCTGCTCTTTCCAGCCGTCTCCGTCTGAGTCTGGGTTCTGGGTGTGATTAGCCGTCTCGCACGCCTCCACCCTCTCGGGAGGCCTGTCGGGCTCAGACGAGCCAGCAACTTTCTTGCGGGGATCTCTGGGTAGTCTCGTCGTCTGCGAGCCGAGTGTCGGCTCGGATTTGCTGTGCTGATGGGCCCCTTACAGTCGTGAGGCAGAAAGCTTAAGGAATATAGCTAGGGATGGGGTTGAGGAGGTGAAGGATGGAGGAGGAGGAGGTCAGAGGAGCGGGAGGGGGAACGAGGAGTTGGGGAGTTACGGATATTGCGGTTGTGTCGGTTACGGGTAGGAAAAGGCCAGTTCCTATCGAGACGATTTGCGGCTGTGTCGGAGGACACAGGAGGATGGAGGAGGGAGCAGGGCAGCGGGGATTGGCTCAACATCGACACCCATCCCCGCCAACCCACCCATATCGAGGAGCGAAGTTGAGGCCCCACCCACCCCTGAACAACGCAAAGGCACAGCGTGAACGCCTGAATCCGACAGCAAATGAGGCGTGCGTGAAGGAAAATTGCAGCCCGCGCACATGAAAAACGTTCCTTATTTGAAAGTGCGGGCCTGATTTTGTGAGGTGTTTGGGTCTCCTGGGGCCTCTGGGAGCGAGCAGCTCGGGCGAGCCCTGGAAGTGCCATTCGGGCCCCGAGGCCTGAACGGCAGGTCCATTCGGGTCCTGAGGCCTGAATGGCAGGTCCATTCGGGTCCTGAGGCCTGAATGCCCCCCCTATTCGGGTCCCCGGGACCCGAATTGCATGTCCATTCGGGCCCTGGGGCCTGAATGGCAGGCCCTGACAGGCCCATTCGGGCCCCAGCGCCTGAATGGCCCCCATTCGGGCCCCAGCGCCTGAAGGTAATAGCTTCAGATTTAGGGCCTAACGCATGCGATTTGGCGTGCAATCGAGGCGATCACAAGACAAAAACTGCCCACTAAATGGCAGAACAGCAACGAAAACGCCTCGTTCAGAACTCGAAAAGGGGAACGATATCCAGAGAACGATGGTCGAAATCGAGTGGAGAATCGTAGAGATCGGCACGCGCACGATGCCATCAGCAGCATAATCGGCAACAACATCAGCATCGGCATCGTCAGGCAGTGGTGCGCCACGGTTTCTGATCGAGGGCACCTTGCAATAAACACACAAGCTATCACCAACAAAACACCATCAATAACGTCATCCGTTGCCTGTTTTGGCTCAAACCTGTTGCGAATCGAGGCGAGCGCCTGGCATCATGCGGCACCAGTGGCACCAGGGAACCTGGGCGCCGCGGGGCATCTCCGAATGAGCTTGATGGAGAACTACCACCGAGCCTTGACCGTTCGCACACCAGAGCATGCAGCCATGTTCTTCGGCGGCGGCGGCACTCACAATGGTGGTCCAGTCTGCTGGGAGGTGATGCAGTCCAAAACAAATTACTTCAAGCATGGTGACCAGGTCTACATCGCAGAAGCTACCACTGGCTTCTGCTCGCGCAAGGAGGAGACGCTATGCAAGCTCCATGGGATTGCAACGTTCAACTGTGTCAGGACCATCAGCGAGTCCGAGTTCACGAACAGTTTCACGAAGCACAGGGTGACAGAGGCGGTACTGAACAACATAATTGGTGAGGACAAGCGGAAAGGGAAGGTCATCGTGGTTGAGTTCACCGACGCAAAGAAGCTGGACGAGCAACTCTTGGTTGCGCTGAAGATAAACAAAGCTAGTAGGGGCGCAACGTTTTTGCGAAGGCATGCCGTTCCAGCGGGTGCATTCAAGGCTACTCAACAACTGTTGTCCTTCCCGCCCGCAGCGCGCAGTGACGACGGCCAGGGCGACGCAGTCGACGACGACGGGTGCGCGTGCTCGTCGTCGCAGCAGCAGATCACACCTGAGCCACCGCCACAGCTGCTGGAACTGCCAGAGCCTGAACCTCAGCAGGAGCTGCCGCCAGAGCAGTCCCAGTCCGAGATGAGCGTCGTCCAGGAGGATGGTGGCGAGAATGATTCCAAGAGCGAGGCTGCTGAGGCCGAGTGCGAGTCTCACCCATCGGCGACCATGAAGATGCTGCGCGTGGACGATGAGCAGCAGGAGAAGCAACCTGATCTGGCTGATGAAGAAGCTCGCATCGCCAAGGCCGTGGAGGAGAGTGGGGGCAACGACGTCAGCGACTACACCAGCGTGGCGGAGCTAGCGGAACCACCGACTGCTGACTTCGAGCGCCACGTCATAGACACGCTGCTGAAGGAGGAAGGAGGAGACGTCTTGCTTCGCCTCGGGCGCAGCTTGGGCGATAAGACGATGTCCACGGCTTTCAGTGGCATTGGCACTCCAGAAGTCAGCATGAACCTGTTGCACTTCCGGCTTCAAAGTATCCTGCAAAACGAGAAGCTGAATCGGCCCAAGATGTTGTCTGCCTGCGACATCAACAAGGATTGCCAGACGGAGCTCAAGATGCTGATGCAGGAGAGCGGCGGCTGCGTATTCGGAGACATAACTGACTTTTGGTCAGACGAAGCGGTGCAGCTCATTAAAGACAAGAAGATCACAAACCAGAACGCGTTGAAGTTCCTCTCCCCTTTGGTGTTCGATGGTAAGGCTGTCAAGCTACAGGCGAAGTGTCATGCTCACAACTGTACCTGCGAGCTCAAGGAGGCAGACCGCCATGTGGCAGGCAACCCCTGCGTCGACTTCACACCGCTGGGTTCCCAGCAGGACGTGCTAGGACCGACCATATTCTGCCTACTCGCGTGGATAGGCCTGAGGCTGGTTCTTCAAGAAGCAATGGTGGTGCAAGAAAATGTGAAACAGTTCGCGACGGAGGTGCTGGCCAAATTCCTTGGCAAGTTCTACTTCATCGACGTCGCGAACACCGATCCACGCTCCTACGGTTTCCCAATTGCCAGGGAGAGGAAATACACCATCCTCCGACACAACGTGAAGTGCATGGCTGAGGTTCCTCCGCTATCAAGATTCCTTCGGAGGTTCCATACCATGTGCAAGTCGACGTGGCGCGATTTCTTCTTCATGCACAAGTACCCTCAGGACGCCTACGACAACCCTATCATCAAGGACGAGCTCAATGAGGAGCTGAAATGGGCATCGACGGCAAGGCGCAACAGCTTAAGGTACCAGAAAGAACCCTTCACCACGGACGATCGCGATGCCTTCTGGTTGTCTTTGAGCCCCTGGGAGCAGAACAATGTCAAGAACTATCGGAAGGCGTTTCCAGGAGCAGCGTGGTCATTGTCACAAGATGGTGCCACGCATCACCAGATGTCCTCATCTGGCGACAACCTGCAGACTCTTGTGAGCAAGATGGGCCTCATCTACGCCGAGCTGCCCTCTGGGAGCCGCTGGCTATGCGGCACAGAGGCTCTGTTTGCGCAAGGCTTCCCAGTCAATCCTGCATTTGTACAGGCGCACGTCAGCGAGGGCGGCAAGGCTCTCTGCAGCTTCAACCTTCATAGGCCTCCCGACGAAGCGGCTCGCAAATGCCGCGTAGTGTGTGCAGAATCTGGCAATGCGATGCACGTGGCAATCATCATGCTCTCGCAAGTGTACTGCCTTCTACACGGCCAGTCCGCGCCCAAGAAACCAGTCCCCACGCCTGCGCGCCAGAGCCTTGAGCGAATCCGAGCCCTCAAGAGGAGGTTCGATGAGATGGCCAAGGGTTCTAAGTAGACTGCGAGGCGCATGGGGCCCGTGCGGCATGGACTAGAGAGGCGGCTGCAGCATGCATTTTGACGTGTGCTGGGAGTCTGGGGTACGCTGGTGGGGTTCAACCGAGCGAGAGGGCGTCATCATCAACATCAGCATCATCATCATCATCACCATCATCATCATCATCACCATCATCATGAGCATCAGCATCAGCATCAGCATCACCACCACAAACACCATCATCATCACCATCCCGTTCAAAATGGTAAACATCATCATCCCACAATCCCGCACAACAGAGAATTATGCTGAAGAGGGGTAGGGGTGCCCAGTCAGAACTTCGGAGCTTTGCCCAGGAGCCAAGCCGCCTCAGAGATGAGGAGATGAGGAGGATCTAGGATAATGTGAAGCAGGACGCCCAAGCAGGAGGGTAGAAAGGAAGGAGGAGCAAGCGAGCAAGCGGAGGAATATTTGCAAGAGGTTTATGTAGCAGAAAGGGGATGCTGTCAAGAACAACAAGAGCAACAACAATAGCATCAAACATATTACTGCCTAACATACAACATACAGCACACTAGCACATCGTCATAGCGGTTAAGGCTCAAAGCTCGGGCGATGTGCTCAGATGATGCACCGATCCCAGGGCTGATTCTGTAGAGGCCTCCAGAGATCCAGAGACTCAGAGACCCGAAGGATGGCCGAGAGTGTCGATCAGCCAGCAGCGTCTTCAAATGCCAGAGCCTCTCTCCAAGCAGCCCGAAACATCATTTACCGCTCGGACCTCTCCATGAAGGAACGCTATGGCCCACAAGGCGGGCAGATCTGGGAAGATGGCGTGTGGGCCGACTTCGAAGATAAAGATGGCCCTGTCACAATCCCATGGTACAACGAGGCAGGCGGGAAGAACATCATCGCCGCGGACGAGAACCGGCCATTGCAGATGGCCACCGTGGAGGAGTACAAGGACGGGATCCTCTCAGACGGCCTGAATCAGGGTTCTCGCGGTGCGCCGTGGATGCAATGGGGTCCTAGCAAGACTTTTCCTGTTCGAGCCCTCACGTGGAACCACTTGAAAGAAGCTTTCTACAAGGCTCACGCTGAACAGCCCGATAATCCATATGTTCAGATTGCTCTCAAGGCTGGTCTGAAGAACGCGCGGATGCTGAACTCGGGGAGCCAGGGAGCACCTTTCGAATTCCACCATATCTTAACCAAGACGAAGAATTTCAGAAGAGTTCGAGATGGCTTCGACTCGAAACCATTTCGAACTCTTCTGGCGGTCTTCGTCTTGTGTTAGAGGGAAATCGAAGGAAGGGCTTGCTGAGGACACCCAGAAATGTCGTGGAATTCATGTGCAATCGCCACAACAAGTACCACAAGGGGAGCAAGACCACCTTCGAGCAGATGATGGGTGTGGCTGTGCATGCTGAGGCCCAGTGGACAGGAAATAAAGATGGAGTTGACGCTTACAATCCCGATTACGAGAAACTATACCGCAAGTGGGTCTCCGAGAACGCAGATGAGCCCATGAATAACTGGCCGCTTTTCTCGAGCACCAAGGGCCTGTGCCACAAACTCGACAGATTCGACATCCAACCTCAATTTCGCAAATGGTGCAACAAACACGTCCGGTATCTTCACGAGAAGCTCGATCACAAGGGGGTTTTGCACATCATGAATGCGATCGGCGTCAGCGTTATCAAGCACATGCCACCGAAAGCAAGAAAGAAGGACACCGGCATCGTGTTTCTGGAAGCTCTTGCTCTTGCGTTACCTGTTCGGCCTTCCGATGAGCAGCGGAGGCTCCCATGGATAATCCAGTCGATGGACCACGTCCACCTGATGAGCGCGCTCGGCGTGGACATGACAGAGAGCGTCGCATTCAAGCAGAGACAAATCGAGAAGGAGCAGGCCGAGAAGGGCGGCAAGGAGGGAAGCAAGACGAAGGCAGGAAAGGGGAAGCAAAGGAAGAGCGGATCCAGCAAGCCACCTCCAGCCAAGAAGGCGAAGACGACCGCTGGCCAAGGGAAAGGAAGCAAATTCACCTTCTTCAGCGAGATCATCGACATGCTGCAGGTGGGCACTGACGCCTTTATAGCTGAGAATTGCGAGTCAAGTAAGCTGGACGCTACGCTGTCGCAGGACCTCGACATGATTTACCACAAGACAACGAGCTACTCGTTGGAGTTCGCATGCAACGGCATCGTGACTATCCACAAGGAGATCAAGGCGTGGTCTGTGTGCAAAGGTGCATTGTTGGGAATGTACACGAGCAAGGCGACCAAGAAGGATTACAGCGAGGACGCCGAGATGAGTGAGGGGGTTCAGCCTGTCGTGGACGACGGGGAGAAGGACGAGAAGGACGAGTCCATGGATGGCGGCGCCAACCAGAATCCCGACGAGAATGAGCTCGTTTCTCTCTTGGCGGGCGACAAGGAGGTCTGTGACAGGTTGACTGGGATCTTGAGCGACATCGCGGGCGAGGTCCCCTTCCCATACCACCGCGAGATCCGCAAGGCTACCGACCAGATCCAAGACATCAAGGCGAAGTTGGTCTCTTCGACTACCTTGCCAACGTTCCTGAGCGCGTGGTCCGAGGTGCTGTTCTCGATCCTCCCTGAGAAGATGATTCATATCATCAACCGGCTGTCTGTGCACGACCCAAACGGCCAGTACATTCCCGCCATCAAGGACGAGGCTTCGCTCGAGCACGCTCTTTCCCTGCGCCCTCTGTACATGATGCAGGCGCTGGTGGCCGCCTTGGATGCGGGGGCAATCCCTGCGGGCCCTACCTTCAAGTCGCTGATCGACCTCGTCTCCGACATCAAGATCAATGCGAAGGGGACGGCGCGCGAGTGTAGCATTGACTCAGCGATCGTTGCATTCGACCTCAATTTAGATACGAAGGAGACGTGGGTGCAGAAGTGGGTGGAGGTGGTGACCATGGCATCGTCGATGGACCAGCTGACCCGCATCGTCAACGAGAAGGTCGACGACAAGGAACAGGAGGCCAAGCCCGAGGAGAAGGAAATGGAGACGGCGCTGGAGCGACTGGGCAGGGCTGTTCGAAATTGAACGTACCAAACAAACGCACTGGAAACTATATCGATCTCCCGGGGTCGCAGTCGCAGTTCGAAACATGTCGGAAACCTGAACACTGGTAAACGGTCCCTTGGGTCCCGTGGGCGAGTTCAGGGACATTGTCTGGCCCAGTGGGCCAGCGCTGAAGGTGTTTCGAAAATTTTGTCTGGGATCTACGTTCGCTTTCGCAGCCTTACCTCGAGGAGCAAACCGTGGACATCGTCGAAGCGGAGCCAGAGGCGCCGCAGATTGCACAAGTCAGCCTGGAGCATATCATGGGCCTCGAGGATCCGAGTGTATCCGCCGCTAAGGAGTCCGTCGACGTCCTAGAGCTCGGCTTTAATGAGAAGCGGAATTTCACGATGACTGATGTGAAAGTGCTCGAGAACAACATTTCAAACCTCTACTGGCGCAGGCTTGCTGAGAAAAACTACACCTGGCCCAAGATCGTCTTTCGCAAGGCTGTTGGCAATAAGGCGGCGACCGAAGTGGTGGCTCTTCAACGGCAGATGCTGGACCCGAACACGTTCGTGATGCCGTACGCTGGTGAAGTCACTTGCACGCCCGCCAAGGACGGCATCCCTGTGTGCCATGTTCTTGGCATGCAATTTTTCCTCGTTCCTGGAAATACAGGTTCGGTCGCCTCAGAAGCACCCGTCCCGGCGTGGATCGTGAAGACTGTTACTCGTGCAGATGCAGCTACCATGGTCCGCCACGACGGCACGTTCACCGCGTACATCGACTCCAATCTGAACATATTCGAGAACAAGCCCGAGGTCCAGAAGCTGATCCAGATCGAGTTCGCCGACCCCGTGCTCAAGCTGAAGGAGGGAGAAGAGCTGGCCAAAGGCGACATCGTGCTGACGCGCACGCTGACCGACACAGAGAAGACGCAACGTGCTACGAGAAAGTTCTTAGGCGGCAGCCTCAAGGATGATGGCTCCGTGGCCCTGCCGACGGTTTGCGACATGATCGAGGATAAGTTGAAGGCCTTCGCAGACGGCGGGAAAGGCACCACACAGTCCAGGGAATCCAAGGATTCGAAGGAGGCGGCGGCGAAGTTCGTGGACCCAAAAAATTTCAAGCACCTCTTGAAGTGAGGTGAGGCTTTGAGGAGACGAGTCGGAGGCTCTGAATGACATTGGCACACAGTGCGTGCGGGATCGGATCGGGCTGACGCCCCCTCTCGACAGACAGCAAAACACAACGAACAAACAAACATTCCATCTAGCAATGATCATAAGAAACAAGGTCGCAAAACTGCACTAAACCAAGCAGCAAGGAGCAGCAAGCAGCACTAAACCAAGCACCAACCAAGCAGCAAGCAGCCAACTGCAACAGCAATGACAGGGAAAGGGCAGGTGAGGGAGGGAAAAGAGACAGACTAGAGGAGCAGGGCGACTGCGGGCGGATGATGGCATGACGATCGCGACGGGGAGCACGATGGTGAAGGTGATGGACACGGGGACGATTATGGCAACATCATGACGATGACAAAGGCAATGATGATGAGGATGCTGATGGTGAGGAGGAGGATGAAATGGTGGCAATGATGATGGCGGTGATGAGGGTGATGATGTTGATGATGATGATAAGGATGATGATGCGGATGATGAGGATGATGATGATGATGCTGATGCCGATGATGATGATGATGATGATGATGATGACGATGTTTCGGTTGGCGATGATGCTGGTCATGATGGAAAATATGATGATGACAGTGATGATGGTGATGATGGTGATGAGGATGCTGATGATGATGATGACGGGCGCGTTGACGAAGAGGAGCACTAAAGAGCGACGGGGCTCTGACAGAACATGGGTGAGGAAGAATGAGGAGGAACACTGAAAACAAACGCAGCACGGAAACGAGGAGGAGGAGGAGGAGGAGGAGGAGTAGAGGAGGAGGACGAGAGGAGGAGGAGCAGGAGGAGGAGGAGGAGGAGGAGGAGGAGGAGGAGGACGCCCCCCGCGCGCGCGGCGGCCCCCTCCATTATTTCGGGACGGTCGTTTACGCGCAGGCCCCGGCGGCCGCCTGGGAGGGCGAGGGAGGGGGGAGAGGCCCCCTGAGGAGAGGAGGAGAGAGGAGTACGAGGAGGCGGAGAAGGACGAATCAGGGAGGAATGAGGACGAGGAGCAGGAGTTTGTTGGCCCAAACTCGGCCCCGCCATCGCCCAAGTAAACCACCAGTAAGCCCCGCAGGCCCTGCGCAGGCCTCACGAGGCAATTCAGAAACCTCGTCGGCCTCATGTGGCCATTCGGGCCTGATGAGGCCACTCGTAGGCCTCTTGAGGCCACTCGTAGGTCGCATGAGGCTATTCGTGCGGCGGGGGGCACGAATCCACCGTGACACCCACAGTGTGCGTAAGCACGTCCCTACGCCATGTCCACCGCACCTCCAGACGAGGCCGCCTCGGCGAGGGAGAAGAAGAAGGGGGGCCCACCCCGCCACACAAGGTACTTAGAGGAGTCTACCCGCTTTTAGCGGGCCCAGGGTGCTCCCACCGAAAAAGCTTCGGCACCCCTGGACGACTCCCCACCACTACCGGCGACGAGGCTGGGAGAGCAAGGGAAAATATGGCAAAAACAACACCAGCGCCGCATCGCGAGCAAGGGCTCGGGCGCCTCCACCGGCGCGCAGAGAACTCCCGCGCAAAGCAACTGCAAGGAAAACCGTTTCTATCGAAATTAGGGCGACAACTGATCAGGTAAGAAGATGCGTCACCCACTGGACTCTCCAGGCCCGAATCCAAATAGACATGCAGATCGAAGTTCTTCCGATAACTGGTCGGCAAATTGCATGCGATCTTAGCTGTTACGACAACTGATCAAAGAAGTAATGGTAAAATCGATGGCGCGAGGCACGCCAGGCCGCAGACCATGTGCGACGACCGCCCAAAGAAATGCGGATATGACAAAGGCCGATCAAAATAAGAAATCATGCTTCGCATATGTCGCATCTTGTGTTTCCGACTTCCCCTGAAAAGAACATGTGAGAAACGAGAAGATTGGCGACGGGCGACCTGCCTGGGCGCGTTCATGCCCTTGATGCCGCAGAGAATCAAGTATTGATAGCGAAAGACCCGCCAGGGTGCGTTAATGTCCATGATGCCATAATTTATTTAACAATATAATGGCATGAAGAAAACAATCAAAAATATGAGGATACGTAATGTCATGCGAACGTCAACAGATACGCAGCATGAGTGCCACAAGGAAAGAAAAGCATATCAATATCAGAATCACGATATTCTAATCAACGAAAACGGTTGAAATCGTACTATACATCATCCCAAATGCGACTGCCACGGTCGTCAAACTTGCCAATCGTACGCGCAAAATTCGGGCCAATTCAAATGCACTCGTAATCGCGCTTGTCAACGCAGATCGCATTGCCCAACTGGCATGACCAGCAGCGATACGCGCTCTTCTCGCAGCGCTCAAAGCGGTCGCGCCACCGCGCGTCAGGGCGGCGTTTCCGTGCGGCACTGCGGCTGCGCTCCAGGTGGAGCGGCGCGGCCCTGCCGGGCGCGGCCAGCTCCTGCGGCCCCCGTGTCGGCGCCCTCGGCAACCGCGGCGGCGCCCGCGACGAACTCGCGCCCGGCGCAATCGGAGCGGCAGCGGCAGCGGCTCCGCCAGCACAGCCAGCGTCGCCAGGGGCAGGGCCGCCAGAGGGCGCCGCGCCCGCGGAAGAGGCGGCGCCCATGCCGAGCTCATCGCGGCGCGGAGGCGAAGGCGCAGGAGGCGGGGCGGGGCGCGGGTCGGCGACGGGAGAAACCCCTAACCGACGCCCTTGCCCCCTTTGCCCTTTCTGGGCGTCGCCCCCGAGCGTGCTCCGCGGGCGCCGCGCGGCTCATGAAACCTGATCATTCCCCAGAGGCAGCGGGAATGGCTATGATTCCTCTCTCGAAGCGCCCAGGGCGGCCCATCGCGCCGCGGGGCCTTAGCCCCGCGCCCGGCGCACTCTCTTCCCGCGCCATGGGCGCGCAGCTGCGCGGCGCGCTGCAGGTCCTCAAGGGTGAAAAGTTTGAGGCCGCGCTCTACCCCGAAGCGAGCCACCTGCCCCGGAAGGACACGGCGCCCCTGGAAACGAAGGGCGACGTTCGCAACAGGATGATGCAAATTGCTTTCTACAGCATCTGGGCCCACATCGGCGCGCGCCACGCGTTATTGCTTGGCCGACAGCGATTCCTGCTCAAGCCATTTCTGATACCAAATTTCGGCTGCGGCGGCAAGCTGCCGAAGGTGGTCTCTCTCCCTCGCAGCGTCGGATCGCCTGCCTGCGATCCTGGCGGAGAAGTCTTCGCGCATGATGCGCCGCGCAACTTCGCGGTTCAGCTTGTTGCGGACCCAGCTGCCGACGCCAGCGACGAATGCAACCTGGGCTTCGCCGACGTCGCCATGGGCGAGAGAGGTCGCGCACACATTGCAAGTGCGGTCGCTGTAGTTATCGGGGAGGTCACGGGAGTATTTGTCGCAGCGCCGCTTCTCCGTTTGAAGACCACCTGCACCATCCTGGATGAGCATCTCGATGCGTCTGCGGGCGTTTCCACCAGCGCTCCAGGAACGTCCGAGATCGCAGAGGGCCCGATCGGGCATCGAATGAGCGCTATATGTGGCAAGATCGGTCGAAGGAGATTTCCATCCTTTGCCAGTGACTTGGTCGGAAAGACAACATGCCGATGTGTTCCCGCGAGACCGGCGCGCCGTGGCCGCGCCACAATGCTCGGCGATGATTTGATCGGCCTTTTCGATGAGAACGGCTTCCTTCTCAGCCTTCTCATCGCCCTCCAGGCGTTCGTCGGAGTCCGCCCGGAGAACCTCGACGATCTGTTCCTGGGCGGGGGCAGCAGCAAAAGCAAAGCTGCCTGGGTCAGCGGCAGGGCCTGAGAGCACAGAGACGCGCGGAGCACCATCGGCGTCAGCCTCAGAAGCGCAAGGTTCCAGTCGCAATGCAGCGGCGGCGCCTGCATCCGTCTTGTCGCCCATGGGGAAGTCTGACTGCAAGTGGCGCTTGAATGTCCCATTGGAGGCCACCGCGACTTCCCAGAGCTTGCGTAAAGTAAGAAGCCCTAGGTGATCAGGGCGAGTATCAACCCTGGGTGTCTCAACCGAGCGTTCAGTAGCTGTGATCAAGACGGTCACGTATGTGTTGGATATCAGGTGAAATGTACTGCGCTCGTCACCGCCCTTGTAATCCAGGTTCCGAATCAGAGTTTGCAGAAAGCTGATATGGCTACAAAGGTCTTGCAACTGAAAAGCCCATGGGCTGCGGTGATCAACCCTCGCGTTGTAATTTCCCATGTCAGCGTTGAACCGGATACTGATGTCGACGCAGGTGTCGAACCCATGTTTGTCATCCACATAGGTCGCGCTAGTGCGCTGCTCGACTTCGCACAACAACGCGTTCAGTAATGTCTGGGATTTCCCAGAATGCAAACGCAAAGAATCTTGGCTGCCTGAAGGGGGCCAGCTAGCAGTGGGGTCGCTAAGCAAGATCTCAGATGGAGCGGTGATCGGGAAAATGGCCATGGTCCTCTTCTCGTTCGCTTTGACAGCCCGATCGTCGCCGTGGTCCGCTTCCGTGGGGTCAGCGTCGCGAATCGCGGGTGGTTCCACCGGCGCATCATCGACTGCGTCGCCGACGGAGGTGCCCAAATGCTCGGCCACGTCGCATAGAGAGAAGTGGGCATGCATTTCATCGGGCACATCGGCAAGAAGAAGATATGCAAACTTGCACCCACTTTGCACATGTCCGCGATCATCGTACCGGATGTTGGCCCATGAGGGGCCCCTCACCGAAAAGTGGGAGTTGAACAATTTGAACAGACAGTTTCCGACATGGGCCAGGTCAATGACAGGGCCAAACAGCTTCCCCCCCTGCAAAGCAATGGCTCGCTTGATGTCTCCTCGCAACCATGGGGAGCTGAAATCTTGGCAACGAAAGGTGCCCCAAGGTCGTGCGTAGACGATGTCTGGATACGTCTGTACCCCGTGCTTCTCTGCCAACAATCCTCGGGGAGTTCCATAACCAGCGGCTCGAAGTACTGCTCTTTGCAGGTCTGCAAGCTGTTCCACAATTCAACGGCGCTGGCGC